AGGCTTATTAGCTTGTATGAGCCTGGGGGTGGAGAACGAATAGTTCCAATAAATTCGGCACTTCTCGTTCCCCACAACGGATTCAATATCCCCCGGAGCGTAGGGCAACACCGGTGTCTCGTCAATACCGTGCCGTAGATGGTAATATAGCACTCTTAGGGCCGCGTTATGTCGATGGATATAGGCCGAGACCGCATATGCTGGACATGCTGATAGCAAGTTAGATCTGTTGAAGTTTGTGCTGATACTTGCCGCGGAGAGAGTTTTTCACTGCTGTTACCTCTTGTGAGTGGCGTTGTTCCACCTCGAGGTAAGTATACGTATCTCCGACATTCAGATGGTGTAGGATGCTTCCATCTACGAGCTGCACATCCTCTCCGTAGTCCCCGCATCGTCCTCTTTTGAGATGAACCATTGCACATTTGTGTATCCCAAATTTCATACCGATAGCATGCGTGTACTCTTCCACTACCCTCAAGGACTGATGGAGATCCTTCTCTCCAGAGGCAAAAAGTTTAAGATCATCCATATAAAACAAATGGGTGACCTTGCGCTTCCGGTTTCCGGCAAGGCATCTGAGCAAATGCAAGATGAGCTCATGCGAAATTGTATCAAATGCCTTCTGGTAATCGATCCAGGTAATAGAGAGGTTACGTTTATATTTTATCGAGTGTATTATCCTTATTATTATTATTATTACAACAAACATTTCCAAAGAATCAATTCGTTACGACAATTTAACTCTGCTCATTCATAATTTTTGCCGAAATGCATCTCTGAAGTAATCGTATGAAAAAACCATTACCTATCATAATAAACACTATACGTAAATCAAATATGGAACTCAGCAATAACTTGCATAACACATACGATTTTTCTGATTGCTTCCCCGATATTACGTCTTGTTACATCCCTGACACATAATTTTCGTATTGATGGTAATTAATATTTAAACACATCTGACATTTAACACAGACGAATGTTGAGAAAGAATCACAAAAAAAAACTTGATGTTTGAGTAACTTTCAGTACCGTCGCTTCAACAGTATAGTAACTACGTCCATAAACAGAAACAGAAAGTTACATTACTAGCAAGTAACATTGGCTGTATTTCCAAAGAATTTAAAGATTCATACGAAATATACAATGGTACAATTGTAGTCCTGATGTAGAAAATGAATTTCAGTTCTATGTCCTCAGTTGTAGGTGGTGCACACAGAAAATTTTGGAAAAGTGAAAACATTAGCCCAATTGGGGAGTAATTTAACAAATGTTCGGCTTTTAAAAATTGAAACATTAATTACGACTGAGATCTTTCCTAATAAAATTTCGTAGAGGTAGAAAAATAGACAAAAACAACCAGTTCCCAAATATTATAACCAATTATACTTGTAATGCACTGTTTGGAACCCTTACTGTAGTAATAAATATAATTGAGTTTTATCCTAACACCAAACGGTTATTTTCAACACCTCGACACGTTTTTCAATCACCAAGTGATCATCTTCAAAAGGAAGATTAAACTCTTGAAGATGACCACTTGCTAAATGAAACACGTGTTGAAATTTTAAAAATAACGGTTTCGTATTGGAATAAAACTCCAGTGATATTCAATTATTTATACCTCCACTGGATGTGACTACAGCCGCTTTTTATAAGAAAAAGATTCGATATATTCCACGCCATGTTGCGCTGTTGCATTCGGTTCAATAGTCCATATTTTCAACTTTCCTTTTTTGAAGAGCCCCTCTGTAGGTATCAGGGTTAAATTGAAAGGCTTCCCGAATGCTCGTAATTTTATGTTGGTTGCAGGATCTAGTTTTCTATTGTCATACGCTTTTTTGGCTTTTGGATCTGGATCGTCGTCTTCTATCACGTTTTCTAATTCTTCGGCAGTCAAACTTCTTTTTCTCACATGTTGAATAGGTACCAATTCGTATTCGGGAACTGAAAACAAAACAATACGTTTTTAAAATTCAAAATTTTGGAAATATTCAGGAAAGTAAACTCGAACGATTCAGTTTTTCACATCAATATTTTTGCTATTTGGTTTTTTAGTACGATTTTTTTCAGTGCTAAAAAAATATTCGTAACATATTGCGATGCCTAAAATACTGAGTAAGGTTTGCTATTTCACCATGAAGAGACTAATAAAAGAATAACGCTCTAATGGTTATCATAATATCGACCTCACGAACAGGATATTCAAGCTGTTGTGACCAAATTTTGCACCAGTTTTACCGTTGCACCGTTGTCAATAATTGGCATTGTGTTATTCGATCACCTGAAGATTTTACGTAAGGACCTCGGTATGAAACCATACAAAATACAGCTGGTGCATGAACTGATGCCAGATGACGTACCACAACGTCGTTTGTGAGCCTTATTAGGAAAGTTGGATGAAGATCGATATTTCTGTCAAAAAAATTCCTTCAGCGACGAAGTTCATTTTTGGCACAACAAGTACGTCAACAAACAGAATTACCAAATTTGTTGTGAAGCCAGAGGCAGATCAAAAGCTGCCAATTCATTCTAAAAGATGCACTGTTTGGTGCGGTTTGTGGCCCGGCGGCATCATTGGACGGTACTTCTTCGAAAACGATGAAAATCGCAACGTTAGTTAATGAAGCAAAGTACCGTGCCATGATGACCAACTTTTTTTCTCAAAATGAAAAAACTGGAATTGGTTGACATGAGGTTTCAACAGGACGGTGCCACATGCCACACGGCACGCCATACCTTGAATCTATTGAGAGGCGAGTTTTGTGATCAATTGATTTCACATTTTAGAGTAGTCCATTGTCCGCCAAGATCTTGAGATTTGACCCTACTAGACTATTTTTTGTAGGGATACAGCCTTGGATGACAACATTACACCTACTATTGGTGAGATATCGGCAGAAATGCTGGAAAAAGTATATCAAAATTCGAGTTCACGGATGGACCACCTACGGCGTATCCGCGGGCACCATTCACATTAAATAATCTTCAAAATGTATGTAGCAGGCATTCAGTTATCTTCCCAAATAAATATTTCATTCACTTTTGCAAATTTTCTGTGTTTTTCCACTTTTCAAAACCCAAACAGGTAAACAATCCATTGTGACACCTCCAGTGCTGTTAGGAAATTAATTTTCACGTTCAGAGCTCTACGTTCTTCATTGCTGATTTTAGATGTTGGAACTGGTTCTCGATCCAGTTGTTCTCTGATTTTCCATCTGAATTCTTTTGCCTCGGACTGGTCAATGAGGGAACTGGTGGATTTCACTGCAGTAATTATCTCCAAAGTGGGCATAGATGTTGGCGCAATGGCGAAATTTAGACCTTTCCTCAACAAGGATTCCTCTATTCCCGTGAGCGGGCGGGAATTCATGTTGATGACGTTGGCGGCTTCATAGTTGTGGTGTTTTCGGTTTGTATTTGGGCATTGTTTCCTCACTAACTTCCCCCACTTTCTGTTGTGGGTATTCTCCATGTCTTGGCGGATCTTCAAGCACGTGCTTTCAAGATGAGGGACTGCCAATGGGATCGCCACTCTCACCAATCATAGCCAACATATATATGGAGTGGTTTGAAATTCTGGCCTTTGAAGAAGCCCACAATAAACCTCGAGTCTGGTTGAGATATGTTGACGACACCTTCATAATTTGGAACCATGGGAATACTGAACTGGACGCCTTCTTGAAACACATCAACAGCATGAGACCTTCCATCACTTCCACAATGGAGAAGGAAATCCACAACGAATTGCCATTCTTAGAAGTTTTGGTGAAGAGGACCGACACCAAGTGGGAAACATCGCTATACTCAAAACTCACTCACACGGGACAGTATCTGAACCACGGATCCAACCACCATCAATCGACCAAAAGAGGAATCATCAAGACTCTATTAGACCGTGCTTTCGGGCTCTGTAATACGACGGAAGGTTTCGAGAAGGAACCAGACATCATATAAATGATCTTCAACGGAATTGCTACTCCAAAGCGATGGTAGAGAAGACTTTGGCTGAAAGACAGCAGGAGCCTCGCAAGGAAGAGAAGTCGTCACAACCAGTCCTTGCACTTCCCTACATCAGAGGATTATCGGAGAGGATAAGATGAATTTGTTCCCAATACAACATCAGAACCTGCTTCAGATCCTGCTACACTATCTGTAGCAGCCTTACAAAAACCAGGCCACCAAACGCGGACCGCGATTCCAAGAATTGCATTTACCAAATACCCTGTGAGTGCGGAAAATCCTATATTGGTGAAACTAAGAGGCCATTGAATGTTCGCATTGCCTTCAAACTATATTTATTTATTCTGCAGTATATACAGGTTTGCTTGGGTATCGGGTTTGATTTTTTCACATTTGCTGACATATATATGCACCCTACAACACATAATTCTTCAAACATCTACAGGGTGAATGAGTATAAAACCAAAACAAAACCGCAAAATTGTATGCATGAAAGAGTAATTTATATAAGCAGTTCCAACTCCTATACTCAGCAATCTAAGAATAGTATTTTAGAAGAATGAAAAAGTTCGGACAGGGATAGGGGGTAATGAAAAAAATGTTGTTTTTAACTTTCACCAAAAGCATCAGTATGGCAGAGATTGACCCACAAGGTGCATAGTATAATCCTTTAAAGGGAATTATGAACACTCCTCCTTTGAGGAAAATTGATAAATCATTCAATTATAGTTACGATTTCTCAATATATCATACAACTTAACAACTGCTTTGATAGCAAACATATTCGAAAAAATCGAATATTTGGAGGAATATGTTACCTACCAGAGAGCTGGAAAAGCAGAATGTGACATGTACTTTCATACGAAGGGCACCGTTTAAATACATTGTCGTATCGAAAAATTTATTTCCAAGTCATTCTTAATTTTGAGACATTGAAAAAGATTGTATGTAGCCTTTGTGTCCCATTGACTCCATAAACGTCCTTAAGAGAACGCAATTTATAGGAGTATAATGATAATGTTCGGATTTATTCAAACCGGTTTGTAAATAGTAGAAAAATTGCAATAATCAGTAAGCAGTTAGTATAATCTGCATAATATGAAATATTATTCAAAAACCAAATTATTCAGGAAATGAATAAATAATTTCAAAACTTTATCACGCTTTGTGGTGAATGATGGAACGCATTAACTTTTACGATAATTCCATCATCGTCTTTTAATTGTTCGTGATATTAAAATGAAATGGATTTCGTAACGGGCTGTTACATAAGATCTTCATCTCTATCAGAGAAGAGTTGGTCAAACTCGGAATAAATGGTCAATAAAGGTAATAGAGTCTTTATGTAAATGTCAATGTCAAGGCACGGGTACGGCTGCAAGATTTCAATGGCGGAAGCTTTCTAATTATGAGGAGTATATAAGCAATGTGTCTGTCTGTGCGTGTGTGAATTATTTGGTTGAGAAACAAACACAATTTACAAAACATTTACTTTTAAAATGTATGTCTGTTAGTATGTGCCTCCTATAAAATCACTCTTCAGTTGATTTGGCTGATGAAACTGTGCTGAAATATGTATACAGGGTGTAACATAAGTAAGATAAAATATTCAAGTGACGTATTTCTGAGACGATTAAAAAAAAGAGTCTATAAAACCTTGTATCCGGAAATGCTTCGTTTCGGAGATACAGGGTGTTGAAGTAGAATTTTTTTCAAATCATCTAAAAGAACAATTCGTTCAGGCCAGTCTCAACTTATACTATGTATAAGTCAGTGGCCCACTGACTATACGTGATAGAATTTTTTTGTTGGTTTTATAAAAATAACTTTTGCAAAAACTGAGTTATTTGCACGAAATTTGGAACCCGGGGTTTTTTACCGTGGGAAATCATAATTTCGTATTAGTTTTTATGTAACATCTAGAGGGTGCTGCGTACGCTGTAATTATTTATTTTAAATTGCCCTGACTTTTTTTACAGTAAATTTTTCACACCTTTTCCAAGTGAAATAAGTAACCTTCCTCAACAACGCTGGAGGTGATATCATTTTCAAGATATTTACAATTTTTTATATCGATGCATATTACTTAACTCCCAGGGCGCTAAGTGAAGCTGCTGAGAACATTACAAAAAACAAATATGTAGTGAATCTCGTTAAAATTAACAACTTTTTCTTATATCTAGTTATTGAGTGGTCCAGATATACAGTGACTGTGGAGAAAATGCATTGAAGCACAGTAGAATTATATAACCAGTAGGCTCTCTTACCACGTGATCCGCCCCAGTTGCCGGGGACCTTCAACCGCTCTCAGGATGATATTCTCAGTGCTGTGCTGTACTATCGAAGGATTCGACGGTTCCACGGGCATCGGATTAATTATAATAAACGGTCGGAAATTGGTATTGTGTTTAGTTTATTCGCTGTTTTTATTATTGCTTTTATTTTTTGTAGTTGGTTTTAATTAACTTACCACAAAATCTTCAATAGTATCCTTAAATTTCGTTTTTATATGAGAACACGCCTATGGTAAAAGAACGAAATTGGCTCTGCACTTCGTTTCGAGGTCACCGATAACTTTGTGAATTTATGAATGAAAGTAGGAGTAGACTTACTGGTCGATTTTACTTTGATCGAAGTTTCTGTTAAAACGAATATGATGCGTTGAAAAGAGGAGAAAATATCCAATTTGCAATTGAAAAATGATTGGTGTCCCTCTGGCAAACTTCCTTTTTCTAGATTTTTACAAGTTCATTCCCTGACAGTTATGCCTTGTGCTTCTTTTTCAATTTCCCACCCTGTGCATACATTACCTGAATGATCAAAATGAGCTACACAAGACTGATCTAAATTGACTTACATTTCCAAACTTCTCAACAACCCATGCATGAATATCATTACAGAGTAGTGAACATTTAGTTAATAAGTAAATGGTAAAAACCTGTTGGCTAGTAGACTATAACTATGGAAAGTGTCGGTATAACAAG